AATACACAGAAATCAAACTGATATCATCTGTGGAACAAGATACTGGAAAAGTTCAATATCAGCAGCTAAAACAAAGCCAGGGGCTGACTGTGGAACAGATCATCAATTGCTCATATGTAAATTCTGGATAAAGCTGAAGAAAATTAAAATAGGTCCACAAGAGCCAAAATATGACCTTGAGTCTATCCCATCTGAATTTTGCGAACATCTCAAGAAGAGATTTGATGCACTCAGCACTAATGACAACAGACAGAAAGACATCAAGAACATCAATGGCGAAGAACACAATATTTCATTAAAAAGACAGGAAAGAAAGAAAAGATGAAAGTGGATGTCAGAAGAGATGTTGAAATGAAAGAAATGGTAAAGTCAAAGAGCTGAGTAGAAAATTTCAAAGGGCAGCTAGAGAAGAGAAAGCCAAATAGTATAATGAGATTTAATGAGAATTGGAACACCAAAAGGGAAGATCATGCTCAGTATATCTTAAACTAAAAGAATTCAAGAAAAAATTAAAACTCCCATTACAACATTGAAAGATTCTACAGGCAAAATATTGAATAATGCAAGATGCTTCAAAAGAAGATATAAAAAATACAGTCACTGTTCCCAAAAGAACTGGTCAACATTTAACCATTTCAGAAGGTAGCACGAAGCGTAAGAACCAATGATGCTGAAGAAAGAAGTCCAAGCTGCCGTGACAGCATTAGCCAAAAATGAGGCTTCAGGAATTGATGGAATACCAACTAAATGTCTCAACAAGCTGATGAAGCACTTGAAGCACTTACTGCTCCAAGCCAGCAAATTTGGAAGAGAGCTATTTGGCTAATTGGTGGAAGGAGATTCGTATTTGTACCCATTCCAAAGAAAGGTGACCCACCAGATTGCTCAAATATAGAACAATATCACATGCAAGTGGAGTTATGCTAAAGATTATTCAAGAAGAGTTACAGGAGTACATTGACAGGGAGCTGCCAGAGGTTCAGGCTGGATTCAGAAGAGGATACAGAGGAAAGGATTTTATTGCAGACGTCAGATGGCTTTTGGTTCAAAGCAGAGAATACTAGAAACAAAATTACGTGAGTTTTATTGACTTTGTGGATCACAAGAAATTAAGAGAACGTTGAGAAGAATGGGAATTCCAGAAGACTGCACAGTGCTCATGCAGAACTTGTACATGGATCAAGCTGCAGTTGTGTCAACAGAACAAAGAATACTACATGATTTAAAATCAGGAAAGGTGGTGTGTGAGAGGGTTGTAGCCTCATCGTGCTTATTCAATCCTAATGCTGAGCAAATCATCCAAAAAATCGGCTTATATGAGAAGGAATGTAGCAGCAGGATTGGAGGGAGGTTTATTAACAACTTGCAGTATGCAGATGACACAGCCTTGCTTGGAAAATGTGAACTCCATGATAGAAATGAAGCTGGACACCAAATGGCATAATTTTACAAAACCAATGATTTGTTCAGAGCAAATACCTTTTTCAACAACACAAAAGGAGACTATACACTTGGACTTCCCCAGATGGAATACACAGAAATCAAATTGTCTACATCTGTGGGAAGACACAATGGAGAAGCTCAATATGTAAGTTCAGGATAAAGCTGATGAAAATGAAAACCAGTCCAAAGGAGCCAAAATACAACCTTGAATCTCTCCCACCTGAATTTTGAGACTATCTCAAGAACAGATTTGATGCATTGAACACTAATGACAGCTCACCTCACGAGCTGTGGGAAGACATCAAGACCATCATTCATGAAGAAAGCAAAAGGTCATTAAAAAGGCAGAAAAGAAAGAAGATATCTAAGGGGATCTCAGAAGAGACTCTGAAACTTACTCTGAATTGTAGAGTAGCTAAAGTAAATGGAAGAAAGGATGAAGTCAAGGAACTGAATAGAAAGTTTTCAAGGGCAGTTCAAGAAGACAAATACAAATACTAATAATGAAAAGTGCAAGGACCCAGAATTAGAAAGTGAAACAGGATGAACACGCTCACTGTATCTGAAACTGAAGGAAATCACTAAAATACACAAGGCTAGAATTTTAAGCTTAAAAGATTCTATAGGCAAAATATTGAATGATGAGGGAAGCATCAAGAAAAGTTCCAAAGAATACAGTCACTGAACCAAAAATAACTAGTCGACAGTCAATCATTTCCAGAGGTAGCTATGAGCAAGAACCAATGGTGCTTAAGGAAGAAGTTCAAACTACGCTGAATGTATTACGGAAAAACAAGGCTCCAGGAATTAGCACAATACCCATTACAATGCTTCCGAAAACCGAAGAAGCATTGGAAGCACTCACTTGACAATACCAGGAAATTTGGAAGACAGTTACTTGGCAAACTGACTGGAAGGGATCCATACTTTTTCCCATTCCAAAGAAAGGTGATTCACCTGAATGCTCAAATTGTTGAACGATATCACACACAAGTAAAATTTTGCTGAAGATGATCCAACAATGGTTGCAGCAGTACATTGACATTGAGCTGCTAGAAGTTCAGGGCAGATTCAGAAGAGGACATGGAACAAGGGATAGCAGATGCATGTCAGATGGATCTTGGCTCAAAGCAGAGTATAAAAGATGTTTACTTGTGTTTCATTAACTATGCCCAGGCATTTGACTGTGTGGACCATAATAAACTGGATAACCTTGAGCAAAATTGAAATATTTAATTGTGCTCATTCAGAACTTTCACATGGATCAAGAGGCAGAACAAGGGAATATTGCATAGTTTAAAATCAGGAAAGGTTTATGTGTTAGGTTTGTATCCTCTCACCACACTTATTCAATCTATATGCTGAGCAAATCATCAAAGAACCTGGGCAACATGAAGGAGAGTACGCAGGTGACACAACGTTACTTGCTGAACATGAGGAGGAAATGAAGTTCTTATTTTGAAGGTCAAGGATCGTAGCTTTCAGTATGGATTATAACGCAATGTGAGGAAGACCCAAATCTTCACAACTGGACCAATAGATAACCTCACAATCAATGGAGAAAAGGTTGAAGTTGTCAAGGATATTGTCTTACTTGGATCTACAATCAATACTCATGGAAGCAGCTGTCGAGAGATCAAAAGACGTATTGCATTAGATAAATCTGCTACATAACACCTCTTTAGAGTATTATAGATCAAGGATGCTATTTTGATGACTGAGGTACACCTGACTCAAGCCATGGTATTCTCTATTGCATTCTATGCCTGTGAACATTGGTTATAGAATAAGGAAAACCATAGAATTGTGAGGCTGGCACAAGACCACGCTGTGTTTTCCTGTTGTGCATCGAGTTGCTATGGGTTGGAGGTGACTCAGTGGTACCTAACAACAACAAGCCTTTCCTTTTGACTTACATAAGATGATGTTCCTTTGTTTACCTGTGACACTGCATGACACAAACCCTCCATATTCCCCTTCTTAGCTTCATATGTGAGTAAATGAATAGTTTTTCTTCACTGGCTCATCAAAAACAGAATGCTTGTTCACCATAGTTTGTTTAAATTTCTCCCCTTCCTCCGTGTTCCTTGATTTGGCCCCACTCTCAGCCTGAAGCAACACACTCCCCCTTGAAGGCTTTATTTGGTGAATAGGCTGGCCTCAAAGTAAAATACTCCGATTTTCCAAATTATCTATATGATCATTTTGTCTCCTCCCCTCCCCTGCCCTCTCCTCTCCTTTCTCCATCGAGACTGTAATTGCTGATGGGAATAGAAAGCCCGATCTTTCTCCTATGGAGTTGCTAGTGGTTTCCAACTGCTGGCCATGCAGCTCACAGTCCAATTGGTAAGTGCTACACCACCAGGGCTCCTTGTTTACTCTTGGTCTCTCTAAAAACACACACACACAACAACCACATTTTTCCTCTTTTGAGAAGAGTGCAGAGCTTATAGACCAGGTGTTCTCCCTACGATCATCCTCCAACCCAACAGTCCCGTGTCCTTCTCCCCTTTTCTTTCTGATACAGTTCCTCCCTAACAGAACCTGGTTGTATATTTAATTTGCAATTTTAAAATGAGCTATTGTTCTGACCATAAGTCTGCATAGATTTTCAAAGAGGGGATTTAAAAACTTATGACATCTTCACAGAGTGGAACGGTAGACTCAAATATTAGTGAATGATCCCAACTTTTTCTTCTCACATGGTTTGATGCTATGGAGAAAGTAGACCTCTTGACATGAAACCATTTTTCTTATTCATCATCGCTCAAAGCCATTCCACAAGGAGATCCTATCAGCCTGTGTTCATACGCAGTTCTACTACTTTCCTCTTGCCTTTTGACATAACTAAAGCTTCGTGTATTATTGATCAACTTCAGTTGCTTTCATTTTTTAATTGACAATATTTTACATTGGTAAAGTCGATGATTTGGTCATAATACCAAAATCAATCATTTAAATAATTAGTAAAATATGAACCTCAGAATCTTCACAGAACCGTTCAAGTTCTATTTATCTAGAGTCATTTCTAGATGAAATGTAGTAATTTCTGATTTATATAAAAAGCTAAACATTTTTTTCCAAGTGAAGATAACTAGCTCATTTTTTCTTTTTAATAATAATTCACTTTGCATATCACATAGCATGACACAAGAAATTTACCTCTTAATGCATGTTTTCTTTTAATTATTCTCAGGTCTGGATAAACAGTGGGGATGGTATTAATTAAGCTAATTATTTATAACTCATTTAAATTACTTGTGTTACTGATCTCACTGTGTCCTTAGGTGTCATTTTGCTGGCAGTATACAAGAAGTACTACTTATTCCTTGAATGAATTTCAGTAAAAAAAAGAAGAAATTAGCAAACTGCTTGCTGCTTGCTTGGTATTGGAGGATAAAGCCATTAGGATTTCATAAGCTATCTTCTTCAATTGAGTAGCCTGAGGCCATAAGGAGGACTAAAGGGTGGGATCTGACTCTCATGTAATAAAGTCCCAAGTGTCATCCAGCTCTTGATATTCCAAGATCAGCCACAGCAGCAACTTCTGATTTTCCTTACTTGGTAATAGATGGGAAGAAGGAAGAGGCTAGATTTATTTGTGGGACCAAATTTCTTTTCAGACTTCTCCTCCTTCCTTGTAACTATATTTAAAAAAAAAAAAAGGTATGTCTTTTAGTAGCTAGCATTATAAACACAATTTTCTAGAATTTAATTGTATCGCTATTTAGTTGGTCAGTAAAAATAAAGTTGGGCCACTAAACATAAAGTTGGGCCACTAACTAAAGTTACCAGAGTTAACTTCACAAGAAAAGCATGGCTCTAGACTCAAAAACAAGTCATGACTGTGGAATGCAGCTCTACTCTACAACAGATGAGGGTTGCTCTGAATTGGAATCTATTCCATGGTTTGATTTTTGGTTAGAAAGAAAGTATCATGGTTTATGTGACAATCCTGTTTGCCTCAATTATAACAAAAACAACACTGCCATTGAGTCCATCCCGACTCACAGTAATCCTATTGGACAGGGTTTCTGAGACTGTCACTCTTTACCAGGTAGAAACCCCATTTTTCTTTTG